AATTCTCATGGTGGGTGCTCTCACTAATTAGTTTGGAGACGCCTGTCCTTCTCTCAGAAGGAAGCTCTATAACCCCAGGTTAATCAGCTGCAAGTACTAAAATGATAATCCACAGTCGAACATTTCCCAGTACCCAAAGACACATGTTGATTAATATATAAGGTTTTCTTTGCTGCATGACAATGATTTGATTACGGACAAGGCAGCATTATGGAGAAAGAAAGAAATCTGATGTATGTTTATACATGTGCAGATCTTTTGTGAATAATGTATCAGAATACAAAGCTTCATGTGTCGTGACCTTAATATGTTTGCGTTTTCCAGGCATGGAAATACGCACGTGAAAAGTGCAGATGTGTAGACAGAAAGCTTATTTTAGCACTTATTTTTTGTCAAAGACTTTTAAGGATGTACATAAGCAGTGCTTTATACAAATATATTTTCTCGCTATCAGAGTGCACAAGGCTGCCTGCACACTTCACTGCTTGAGACTCTGGTCTAATCTTTAAGTACCACTTTCATGTGGCCCTGTGGTGTTTTTTTTTTTTTCTTAATAGAAATGTGGGCTTTTCTGCAATGCGAATGGCAGGCGCTTTATGCTTCAGCTGAATCATCACGGGCCAGACGAAGACTGTTTTGACTCATTTTAAACCCCATTAAAAACGTATGACGCTCACAAGAAAAATCAAGATTACAGCAACGCGGAAAGTTCGAATGTTTTCATTCTTGTGTGTCTAGATGTAAATTGGCATGACCAGAGAACACAGAAAAATAAATGTCCTCATCCTATGTTTATATAATTTGAGCAAAAATTAGATTAGAAGAGCAAACACACATGGAGCATTTACATAATTCCCCAGGCTGAAATCCAGTTACAATGAATTATGACTGAGCCAAATGAAAGAATGGCTCCTTCCACCGCATACGTTCTTTGTCCTGCGTTTTATCTCGTCGAGGGCATCTATATGTATATTTCCCCTCACCGTTTTTCTTTATAAACACAGAGCCTCTATTATGAGACATTTCTAGCATGCCAAGGGAGCTAGTTATCTAGTTGTGTCTGTATTCACAATGAAAACTATTGATCTATTGTCGCAAGTAATTGAAGGGTGAGGGATTACAATCACTGCATCAAGGAGAAGGCAGGAAAGGAGGAGCATGACCAAATGATAACGTGCCGGGCTGTGGGCAGTACGGCTATGAATAGCCTTCCTTTATTCTGAGGTGGGTTTAAATTCAGTTTAGAGGAGCTTTCGGTGCCCCAAGAGAAATAGGTGTTACACCAGCAGTGAGGAGGGTGTAATACTGCGGTTAGCATGGCTTAAAAATTCAGGAGTAAAATTCGAAAACGGACAATTTTTTGACACTTTACATGCACTTACAAAAAACCAGGCATTGTGAAGTTTGAAGGAGCTTTTAAAAAAAATGATATGAAAGATGTAGCAACACACATTAGCTGCACATTAACATATATTACCTGCCCCTGCATCTGATATTTTGTCACCCACACACTGGCAGATTGCAGGTTAGCGCACATCAAGAGGTCATTTTTGCCGCGTTGGCAAGAGGCAGTTTTTCACAAAAGCAGCAATTTTGACACGTTTGATCCCCACACTGGCGTATCCCAGCTACTGTGTCTCGACTAACTCTGAGGCTGCATGACAGCATGTGGGCTGCAAGTGCCACCCGAGACACATCAAATGCTTCAGCACTCCCCCAACGCTGCCTCTGTATGTTTTTATCCTACCATTTGTACTGCAAACTGAAATGGATGTAGCTGAAATCTGACCAATGCTAATGATTATCTTCCCAGACTGTGAGTTACATGAAGTGGGCAGGATAGCAGCTGGTACAATATGTGCAGCAACAGTTCAATGCAATCTGGAGCAGCTGGTCTCTGTACAAATTTTTCCTAAATGTAGTGCTTATTGTCAGGTCTCTGTTGAGCCTAAACTAAATTGTGTGCCCCCTTTATGTACACCACGCACTTGTGGATTTCATGTTGAATGCATTTTCAGTTAACGCCCCACGTGATCACCGGAACAAGACGCTGGCCGGTTCTTCAAAAGCATTCACAGACAACATCCCTGTGCCTCTCCAGCACAGCCAGGGGTACTATGTACATCCAAAAAGCTGTGAAGCTAATGGTTGGCAACCCATGAGCATTAAAACATTCATCTGCACCCTCAGTACAGGATAACTAGCTCCCCGAGTCTCTGTGCAATTTGGCCAAGGCTCCGAATAATACGTTTACCTACTGCGGTGCGCTGCGGGCTCCCTACATATCTTATTTCCCATACTCCCACTTCCTGTCAAAACACTATTGCACACTGCATAGTGGGTAATGACGTCTAACCTCCCACTCTAGCTGCCCCCGGGTCAAATTAGAAGGCCACGCTAATAATTTCTCTTTAGACCTTCCTATATATCAGATTCATGCAGTTTACTTTGGGGTAATTTGTCCCCAACATGTGGGCGCACGATCCCTACAGAAATAGCCTTTCTGATTAGATAAGGCCTGAGACGATTTATATATGGTTTCAACTTTTTAAAATAACACCTATGTCATTCACAGTAAGCAGCATGTGTGTACTTATACTGATATGAAGACATACTTGTGTATATGTGTGTGTATGCACAACCTGTATCTGTTATCTGTGCATGCTTGTACACGATGCCTGCATATCTCCACACGTATACATTTCTACGTCGAGCCGTGTGTTTTGGGGTTTCTGCTCCAAGAAAGTGTCTCCAAGTAAAAACAGTGTCAGGCTCTGTAATGAGGGCATCTCTCCTGCGGTTTGGCCCGATTTTAAAGTGCTGCCACATTCTTGGTGTGCAGAGAGAATGACTTGCGGTGGTCTGCGATAGTGCATACACGTGTGTATATGTATAGTGCATACTTACTGTATTGGAGTGCAAGCGTGGGCTTATTCGCACCCAAAAGTCACTCTAAAAATTGCAAATAAAACAAGAGAGAATCACCTCTCTGTAGATGAATACACTTGCCCTTCTGTTGACCTAACAGAATTTGGTGTGCTGTGTGTGAATCACATTTATTTAGAGACACACTGATTCCCAATCAGCTGCAGAGGTGCTGCTCTGTGGTTAAGCCTGCACGGTGAATACATTGTTAAGGACAGCTAGCAAAAAAAATAAAAAATCCCTCTTCTGCAATCAATAAACACCACACTGTTATTACCAGAACTTGATTTTGTGTCTTTAGGACTCTGCGAAGAAGTGGCACACAAAGAGGATGAGACAGAATAGAGGGCACTAGCAGCAGACGTACGCACTCAGACAAAATACCCAGTGGACTGTTATCTGATTTATTTTTTCTAATATCACCACATGTCCCTGTGCCCACAAGGCTGCCTGGGGATTTCCAGTATTTTTGGGTGGGTCAGATTGTAGATTTCTGCCTCTTTACTCCTCACAGTCTGTTGTACAAGTGCACAATTGAAGCACTGGAGTCAAAATGAGAGCCTTTCTCGCAGAGGATAATGATACTTGCAATCATGAGAAACAGGAGTTTTGATACAATTATAATTAGCTGTTAACAAAAATGAGTGTGAGAATTGCCAGATGAAATATGTTATTTTATGTTTTTTTATTACGTTTCTGCCTCAACAACCCAGTTTCTTCAGTGAAATGGGTTTGAATTGGGAAATATAATGGCATTCAGCTTTGGATTAGAGGTCCATTGCTCTGATATAAAAAAATAAAAAAAACACACGGCCTGATTTTCAACAGAATCTGCTCTTCACGACAGAGAGATCTGTTGAGTTGAAACGTATTCTGATCAAAAGTGACTACAGAGGACGTCAGAGAGAAGGAGCTGTTGAGGCTTAAAGTGCAAAAAGAGGCATAAAAGAAATGTTGAAAAACCCAGGACCCCATCAATCAGCACTCAGGAATAAAAACAGGAAAAAGGGGGATGAGATTTAGCAGTATTTTTTGCTCTTTGAGAGTTTGCGTATTCTGAAAGAGAATGCTGTAAAAACCAGTACATTATTTAAGGAGGTGTCAAAGAACTGTTGCGTATCATCAATGCATACTGGACATCTCTTGCAGTCTACGACATTTCCGTCTGTTTTATACTTGTCTTAAATCACCGGGACGCTCGGTAGAACAAAGCTCTCTGAGTTAATCTAAATGTAATATATTTCTAACAGTTTGCGTGTCTGTGTCTGTCTGCAAACATCCAATTGAGACATAATGCTGCATTTAAATGACAACAACACCCCTGCATACTGCCACTTTAACCTCCACCTCCATGTGTAATGAGTATTATGGTTTGGAATTGGTGCCTTCGAGCCAACGCAGATTGCAATCATTGTGGGAACAATTAATTCTAAATTGTTCCAGGAAATTGTACAGAAGAATATCAGGGTAGCTGTTTGTGATTTGAAACTAAACAGAACTTCCGTCACACAGTTTGATAATTGCCCTGAGTACAAAGAGCAATCAGTGACTCAAAGTTTTAAACGGAAAGAGAGAAAAAAATGGCATTGATTCCTGACCTTATAGCAATTAAAATGCCATGGCATGACTTGAAGCAACCCATCCATGCAAAGTATTCTAAAAATACCAATTACCTCCCAACTGCTGAATAAAAAGTAATTGTCCAGAATAGCTCCTATTTGCTCTGCAGGCCAGATCAGGGGCTAGAGAAAACATTTGGATGAAAGTTATTTCCGCGAAGAGTTACTAAGCCTAAAGGTTCACAGATTTCTCCGCCCTATTCTCTGAGCAGTGATCTCAGCGGGGTTCTAGTTCAGATTCACTGACACATTCCACACATGCCCTGACACAACAATGACTCCTCTCCCCTTTCAAGTGCACATGATACTCACTACATTTACATTGTGCATGCACAAAGCATAAAGGGCATGTCTTATGTGTATATTGTACGTGCTCTTTTATTATTCTGTTTGCCTGAGGGCAGAAACTGTCTTTCCTGACGTTCATCATGTGTGTCTTTTTTTTTTCCCCCCCAGCTCTAACAAATGTGAAGCTGTGGGCCATTGACCGACAATGTTTTCAGACGATCATGATGAGGACGGGTCTCATCAAGCACACAGAGTATATGGAGTTTCTGAAAAGGTGAGGAACCAAGGCGAATTCAGCGGCAGACAAATGGCCTGAATGGGCCTTTGATCCGAAATGCAATGAATGAATTAAACAAAATGAATTCAGGAGAATATGTGTTTCTCAGAAGACACCCTGCTCTCGCTTTTTGCTGATAAATAATATAACTCAACGATTTTCGATGCGTCTTTGAGTATGTCACTCAACCTACTGGAAAAATACCTTGTAGCTGCATCATTGTTCTTCAAGGTTCTTATCTGTACTAGAGAGCCTCTGCCCTGTAACCACTTCTCTATTGAGAAGCCTATTATCACTTAAAAGGCCTGCAGACTTTTTTTTTTTTTTTTGTCGGGGTGGAGCCTGCATAAAGTATAGGATACAAGAAGAATGCATCAAAAGGCAGAGGGAGAAAAGCGAGCGGTGATCAAAATGCATGAGATGCAATTACGGTATCAATCCCTCCGTTCCCTGTCTCTGTTCAACTTTCCTATTTCACTGTCATTCGCTTTGGTCTTCATCAAGCCAATTATGAAAATGATATCACACCTTCCCTGCATGCAGCTCTCCATTTGCTCATGACTTTGCAGCAGAGGCTGAATTAAAAGTTGGTCCTATATGTGCTCTAATTACCGCAATTTTCCAAACCATAATAGCACGTATTCTCCCTATGGGATAATATCTCCTGAACAAAACCTCTTGAATAGCTGAAGGCATGATCAGACTTCCTGACAGACCTTGTATGTGTCAGTAGCTTCTAACGCAATCCATTTAACTGTTGTAAATAAAAATAACCTTATGGCTGTTTCCTGTTGTGCAACATGTAAAGATGTAGTTGGGAATTTAAACTACCTGTTCAGCCTCTTGCCTTAACTTCATAGAAGACAGGATGCACTTTCTACTGTCAAAGTCACTCTTTTTACACGCAGCCAGTCACTTTCACAGTTTCCCTGAGGCCAAAAACTTTTTTGCAGCAGTATGTCACACTCCTCTCTGTCCTACACCGCTGAGAGGGGACAATTATCATTCACACGGTCGCAAGACATTGCTAGTCAGTGAAGCATACACACCACTTGTTTAAAGCTTTTGAACATAATGACTAAAGCTGTTTTTTTCCCCTTCCCTTTAGTCAGAAGAAGTCCTTGCCGTTCACTGTGAAACAAGACAAACAATAAAAAAAAAATACATTTCTAACCTGATAGAAAAACACAATTAATCTTTTATGTCTGAGACAGAAGCTGTTCAAGTGATATCTTCGAAAAGGACACTATGAGAATATACTGTACAGTATAGCAGCTCTTGTCTCCCAGCAGGTCTTGCATAACAGTCCAACAGATAAGTAAATATTTAATAAATGTACGTATTTCTCGTCTTGGGCTCAGTCAGCGTGTTTGGTTTATAAAGGGGTGTCCAAGGGGGAGGAAGCAGAGCAACATTTGATAATTCACAGTCCAAAGATAATTGTATTCATGTTTTGCTTCTTAGATGCAAATTTAATTAAAGTGCTGTAGTTTAAGCGTGAGAACAAACACATACTGGTCCCTGTGAGTCTCCTACCCACCTTTTAACGGCTGTGAAATCATATATTTGCTCTCACAAGTTGCGGAGGAGGAACACTGATGAAATACTGGCAAGCAAAAATCCCGCTTAGTATTACATAGGGGAACTAATTGTAGCTGTAAAGACTGTTTATTATCTCGTTCTTGTATGTGTTTTAAATCACTCAGAAACATTGCTCCAAATGTAACTGTAAGAGTAGTGTCTAACTGACAAAGTCACCTGGGTTTACAGCAAGCATTTTACTGTGAATTAGCATTTTTAAAAAGATTAAAAGTCTAGCCATGAGGCATATAATAAAAGCAGACAACCATCTGCCCACTGATTTGCTAAAAGGATGTGGGGATTGAGCTTGGGAAAGCATTAAAGTCCCTCCCTGGTCAATAATTAAAACCCTCAAAACTCATCTCTGCCTATCATCGTTACATATTTAGAACTTTTTTTCTATGAAAAAAATCCCTTCCAGTCTTAAAATGGCTTCCATGTAACAAAACTGTTGATTCCTCCAGAATATGCAGATTTACAAACAACACCCACTGCTCCTCTGCTACTCGCTGCACCTTGAGCATACCAGCTCACCTGTGACTCTGCTCAAACACTTTAAAACTGTTCAGTATTACACACAAGGAAGTCGTAGCAGTGTAGTAATTCCGCCATACATGTAACAGATTCTTAAGAAGAATGATGATGCATTAAACCCAACCGTGCAAGTTTACAGGATTGGTTCCGTAGGTTTGTTAGATATGAAACACCGCAAGTCTGTTTTTGAGCCATTAGTACACTACATTTTTAGGATGAAAATGCTCAGCCATGGTGTTGACGGCTTATTTCACTCATGACATGTCTTCTGGCTATAAAAAACAAAGCATGCATATGTTAACGAGGGAACAATTGCACCAGAAGGGTGTAGAAGTACTTATGTTTACCTCATTTTCGAGGTGTTTGCGAAATCACCACTGAATCGTTTAAAAATTGCCTCGTTGCCTTTAAAATTGCACAGTGCCACGAGTGTAATGGCATTAGAATTTTTAAAATAATCACAAAGACTGCATTCACGGAGCCGCACTTCCCCATTTGCCACATATAATGACTTAACTGTGACACAATTACGCTTCGAAATTTAACAGAACAGAGGCTTTTTGTTTCACAGCTGGAGGCTCTGAATTTCATGTGGAGCAGGGTCACCTGCTCTCTGCCTAGCTGGTTAACTAGCGCCTCCGCTGAGGAAGCAAGAGCACAAGGATCAGCACAATGGCCAGGGCCCTGGGTTGGAGGCCGGGACAAGATGGTTCAGATTACTGTAATAAAGCATGGAAAATGAGGGGGGAGAACGAGATGGAGAAACAGAGAGAGGGAGATGATATAGGGAGATAAGCCCTTTGTTCACCAACACGGGCTATTTTCTCTTCTCCTTGATAAACATTAGGCCAGTTTTATTTAGTAGGCTTGGTTACAGGCAGATAGCGTTCATTCAGGCTGCCGGGAAGCGACGGAACAAACATTACAGCTTCATTTGATGCCCTGCTGTGGTAACTGCAAATGTTGTCCAGTTTATGCTGAAATATTTATATTCACACAATGTAGTACAGTATACAGGCCAACTCCCACTGAAAATGGCCGATTTAATGTATTCCAGCTGCCTATATTTATGTTGTTCACGTAGGGGCACAGCACTGCTTTGATTCTGTTCAATATTTTTTATATATAAGTGCTATACTTGAAAAACATAAAGAAGATTAACATTTTAAACCATTTACTCAACAAAACTATCAATACATTTACTGCTTTTCTGTGAAAGAATAAAGGATTGCCTCCTTTAGCAGAAATAAGTTCTTGTAGGTGTTTTGCATCATTATCCACCAGCGTCTGACATCAGTTTGGTAAAAATGTTCATCACGCTTGCATGTAAACTTCCTTCAGCTATGAATTATTGTAGTTTTTTTTTTTTTTGCATGCACTGTCCACTTCAAACCCTTCTGCAACATTTTAAATCAGTTGTTTTTTCTTGACCTGGCTATTCCATAACCCCTCATTTCTTCTGTTTGAGCTGTTCCTTTGTGGATTTGCTGGTGTGTTTAAGATTCTTATCTTGTTAAAAGGTCCACTTCAGGTTCAACTTCAGCTTTTGGAGAGATGGATCTTGCTTTATCTTCAAGCACTCTTTTATATGATACAGAATTTGTTGTTGACTCAGTGACTACGCACTGCCCGATCCCTGAGATCGCCAAACAACCCCAAACTGTAACATTTCACCACCTTGCGTCAAAGTTGTTCTCCTGAAAAGCTGCCTTACTTGTGAAAACAGTAGCATTTACTCTGGTCAAACAGCTCTAACTTTGATTGGTCTATGTGGAACTCATTGTTCAAGACATCTGTATGTTCACTGACAAACTGTACTTTTGCTTTAATGTCCATGCATATTTGTGCAACCTCTTCCTGATTGTAGACACATGCATTTTGACATCAACAGTAGCCCTAGTTACTTGCAGATCCTGTGATGAACTTTTAGGCTTCTTATTACTTCTTTTTACATCAAACTGCCTGCTCTTAGGCTAATTGGCAGTTATTTCATGTGTTATTTGTTTGAGTGTGCCGCCTTTATCCGCAGGCACTATTTCAATGAGGATCAAGTGTTTCCTTGTTCAAATATGTTGAAAAAGGCAACAGTTTTGCCGGGATATAATTATTTTTTTCACGATTATATACTAAGCTGCCAGCTAAACTGCTTTCCACATCTTTTTTTTTTTTTATCTGACAAACACAAAAGACTTAATCAGTAATATATTCACTTATGTGTTCCTCTGTCTGAAATCCCTCTCGTGTCTTTCTCCTGCAGCGTTCCCACATTCCACGGCCTGCAGGAAGATATTCTGAGCAAGCTTGCTGATGTCCTTGAGGAGGTAAGTGCTCTGCTGCCTTGTAGCAGATGTCACCGGCTGAGGTGCCAGGGGCGTACTCCACACATCCTAATAGATTTCCATACGTTCGCTTCCTTTTATTGCAGTGCGAGAAGGGAGCCAGAAGGGGAATGAAGGCATATTCCAGATAATGTGCACTGGTTGGAGGCAGTTGGGGGATGATTTCGAGGGGGTTCAGTGGAACAACTTGTACACAGTTAGGATTTCAGCGCAATTGATGCTCTTCAGTATGTGCCGAGTGTGATGATGTTGAAGTTAATGGTGCACCTACTAAGGGACAGCTTATTTCACAAACCTCTTCAGGAATTCAGAGCACTGCTGCAAGAAGCCATTTCAGCTTTCAAAGGGGGTCAATCAATCTAAGCTAGCTGAGGCACATTGTAATGCGTTTTATTTAATGTTGTAGGGTGGTATCCATTGGTACTTTAATGGTTGTGTGGTAACCCACTTTCAGCACTTTCTCTTCTTTAGACACACCATATAAGAACAATATTTTACATGTTTTCATAACACTGTCTTTTATGGCATCCATTGCTTTCCGTTTATCCTCAGTGTTAAGAAAATGATCTCAATCCTCCTGTGTGCTTGGATTGTGTAATTCGAACAAAACGAACCAAACAACCTTGCAGTAATGCGCGTAATGCCGTTTAAGTGCAGGTTGATTGATCTGAAATGTCTGTACGGCATTATGTAATAACTATAATGTAACTATAACAAAAATGAATGCTAAGTCCGTGTTTACTGTAATGGATTCAAAAACCCAGACGAGTTTCAAGAGTCTGCTAATTGATCTTCATTTCATATGCAAATGTATGGACACCAATTGCTGTCTGGAGGGCAGAAAAATACATTCACAGACTTAGAACGCATCAACATGATGTGCAAAGCGGACAGCGGTTGTTAAACGAATGTCATGAATAGACTGAGACATGCACAGTTTTCATTTATTTTTAAACCGTAGAGATGATTTTCTTTGCGTTTTGAGATGTGTCACAATATTGCTTTTTCGACCCATCTGCACACCACTTCGTTTGATGTTTTCTCCTGTATAATTTAGTTATGCAAACGATCTCTTATCTACACTTTTGATGCTGCTTATATTGGAACTTTCAGTATTTTCACTTACATTAAAATGTGGCCTTTTCATGCCTTTTACATTATTCAGTGTATGAGAGAAGAGAAAACAGCTCAGATTCTTTTGCTTTAAGACATGGAGGAGGATTAATTATAAAAAAATAAATAAATAAAACTTGTTTCAAGTCATTAGAATCTAAGCCTGAAGAAAGGGTTTTACCGTGAAGTTTTTAGTTGTTGAATTGTGGAAAATAGCAAGTTAAACATTTGTTTTTAAATGTGTTTTTCAGAATGAACATGATATGGTGGCTATTGTTGTAAGCTACACCCATACACAGACAAATTTAATACATTACTTTTAATAAACACTGAAATGCAGTGTAGATGGCAGGACATTTGTTGTGCTATTTGGTAAGATGGTTCATCTCATGTAGTAAAAAGGTTATTGGGGTAATTTGAACATGAGCTTATAGTACAAAGACGATTCATAATGTAAAACCATGACAAGTTTATGACATTAGTCATTTAAACCGTCGCTTTCTTACATAATTCATTTACATGTTATTCATAAAACATCTATTTTAGGACTGGATTGTGTTTAATATTATGAGACGGTTTCAACTTCTAGTCACTATTAAAGAAAAAAAGTTATTTTGCCCAATCACATCATTGTATTATCATCAAATGAGGATACCTGGGCCATGACTCAGGTGAGAGAGGTTCACCAATCACAAGGCTGGAGGTTCAATCCCTGGCTACTCCACATGCCGAACTGTCCTTGTGCAAGACACTAAACCACAAGTTGATCATGATGGACGGCTAGCAGTTTGCATGACTCTGCAGCTATTGGTGTGTGCCTGTGTGTGAATGAGTGAATGTGAAACACTTCAGCTTTAGGAGCAATTCACTTCAATGAGGTGAGTCGGTTATGACACTGGAACGCGGGACAAACCAAAAAAAAAAAAGAAAGAAAAAGGAATCTATGGCCTTACACATCACAGCCTTTACAGTGAAGGACACCTCTATTGAAGATAAGAATAAGATTAGTGGGAAAGTAAATTGGCACAAGGAAGCCTCCTTCAGTAAAACAGTGTCAATGATGAATCAGGGAGACTAAATCGAACGGCAAATGTCAGCGACTCTGTGGAATCTACTTATCATCTTAAGGAAATGTTAAAGTCTATCCTTTGCTGCAGGATTCTGAGCATGATGCATGTTAGCGTTTCATCTTTCTGAAAGTTTGTCAGTGACTGGTTGTGCTTCTTGTGCTGTGGTTCCCTAGATCATAGCGTACCTTCATACCCAGTCTTCTCCACGGCACAAGACACATCTCAGATCATATTAAGTTATGTCACATCTTACGTATGACTTCCCACCACCCTGTGAAACACTGTCCTTGAAGCGAATGCATTTCTTAGCCAGCCCTGCGGATTATTTTCAACACAAGGCATGAGTGTGAGTGTGAAAGTGTTTTTCTATCTATATGCGTGTCAGCCTTGTGTCAGACTGACGACCAGTCTGGAGCAGAGGCTGCTCAGTGCATGCCGGGAAGCGTTCCAGCACCCACAACACTGAATAGGATTACTGGGTATAGAAAATGGATTGATGGATGGATATCTTGTGTTAATTTCGCTGTTGGGAAGGAGCTGTGATTTGTCCTCATATTTGATTCAGTCGCATTCATTTATTCATTCATTTTCTTTACCTGCCTTTTCATATTCAAGGTCGCAGAGCATATCCAGGCAAGCTGTGGGTGGAAGGCAGCAAAAATACCCACGATAGCTTGCCAGCGTGCGGTTTTAACTAGAAAACAAATCTAATTGTGATTTATCTCACTGCACCTAATTCAACTTTACTTCTGAAAGACTACGTTTTGTCTCTGGTGAGAGTGGCTCACTCCTAATACGGCAAAGGACACAAAATAATGACAATGAGCCTCTAATCTGGTGGTCCTCTTTTCTCTTGTCTTCTCTTCTCTCCTGGCAGACGCATTATGAAGATGGAGAGTACATCATCAGACAAGGGGCCAGAGGAGACACCTTCTTCATCATCAGTAAAGGAAAGGTGAGGATAGTGCCTCCAGCCTACCACCAAAATAATCATCACTGGCATCGCAGTGCGGGCCATCGCTGCACACACAGCAAAAGACACCTATCTTTGAAGCTAAGGGGTGGTATTTTTGGGTGAAAGTTTGGCTGTCATCAATCATCAGGTGATAGAGGAGAAGACAGGAGCGCTGCCTCTTTCATCATCTCCTGCAGTAGCAATGGGAGTATCCAGAATACAGAATGGAGTCACTTTGATTTCACCTCTCAGTAATCAACACTGGCTTTTACACTGTCCTGTCCTGCCTCACTACTGTTTACGGCTTTCACATACTCGTATTTTGATGCCAAAATGCCCGCCACTCTTCCTCCTCATTTTCTCTCCGCCTGTTATCTTCTTCATCCTTTCTCCTGTACTTTTTTCAAAGCTTGCTCCAGGTCCATTTTACACTTCACCTGTTCGTGTTTGTCCTCCACCCTCCGCTACCTCCTTTTCATCCTCATCATTTAATCACCAAACAGAATTCTCCCTCTAAACGGTCTCTTGACTCAGCAAAAGATGGAAGTCACATGCAAATCACATTGGTAACCGAAAATCCTCCTTCAAATTCGAGAGACAAATTCACAACATTTTCTAACAGTTCGCACATCCACAATCTGGGTGTCATTGTAAATGATACACTGTGTTTCCAGTTTTTTTTTTTTATTCTCCTTTGACCCCGAACAGTTGCAATTTACTTCACAAGGTCAGCACAGCTACACTGCACACAAGAGCACTCACATGTAGACGTAGACAGAACACACGCACTCTCCTGACCTTATCACTGCTCTCTGCTCGGTTATTTCCACATCTCTCACTTTGTCTCTATCTAGATCGCAGACGGTGCACTTTGTCTAGAGGACATTCTACCAGATTTGGACGTCACACAGGACACACACGGTCTACCCTTTTTGGCCTGTAAGAGTCAAACAGACTCCTGCACACTTGCAAAGACACATTTATTGGTGCAAGGTTTTGATACTAAACTTTTATCAGACAAATAACACAATAACATTCACCCGATGAAGGTCTAGCCCACGTAGCATCAATAAATGTACCTTTGCAAGTTGGACAGTGTGATCTTTTGGATGCACTCGTCCTGCCCCTTAGCACCTGCCTCATGAAATAGATGTGCAAAGAGTTCCTTTGGCCTACTGCTTTATACCTTCTCCATCTTGTTTTTTGTCTGCTCCTAGAGGATCATATTAGATCATAAATAAAAATGCCATCACTCAGTTGTTGACAGCATTACGGTGTCCCGGTGACAGTTACACATACAGCAGAACTGACTAATGGAGGAGGACAAGATCCTTCATTAGGTGAGACGATCATCTCCACTCACCTCCTCTAAAATCTACTCAAGTGCCATCACTTTGATTTGTAAAGTCTACCGGCACAGCCGAGCGCCATCACTCACATGTCATCTGGCTAATGGAGTGGTCAGCGGCGCCTCCCAGATCCTTCAGTGGGTGACAGGTACCCACGAACAGAGATATCCGTCATGCCAGTTCTTCTACCTTGTTTGTAATAGTGTGATTCACTTGCCTTTATAGAGATCATTTACTCGGTATTTCCTTTGTAATGATGTGTAAATTGCACCTCTCCTTTATTCGCCACACATCTTCGTACTGCTACATGTCACCTCTTCTCTCGTCACCTTTGTTCCAGCTTCCTCCTGTTGCACTATTCTTCCCTTTAACGCGCCACCTGCATTTCCTGTCTTTTCTCAGGTTAATGTGACCAGGGAAGACTTGCCCAATGGAGAGCCTGTCTACCTCCGCAGCCTCGGAAAAGGAGACTGGTTTGGAGAGAAAGCATTGCAAGGGTAAGATTGTTCCTAATAACTCTGCCTCTTTCAATTTAAATCCTCTCTTCTCCATTCTTTCATTGTGCTCCTTCTAATTTTAACTCACAAACCTGTCTCTTATATCCTTCTGCTTGATTTTAAGATACATCTTTTCATTTGTGATTTACTAACAATCAACCTCCAGCCTTTATCAATCTCTCATCCACTTACTTTTCATGACAGCCATAATAACTTGCAAAATGTCTGAAATTGCTTGAAACCAGGCGCACATTAAATCACACAGTTAACTCATAGCTGTTCCCGACATATTTTTGAGATGTGAAACAAAAAGGATTTCTCTGAACCAAAGGACGTTCATTAAGTTTGAGCTAATCACAAAGAGTTTAAGCTGTCGCAGAAATCCAACTGTGTTTTTTTTAATCACTTCCATTTTCCTGCCTTTCAAAAACGTATCAGGACAAGTTTTTGATCAGCAGTTGCCACTGAAAATGAAATGATTTGTTATATAATCATATTCCTATCTGTAAAAACAGCACGCCTCTCTGGAAATGCAGCTATTTTACCGCCACTCCTTTTTTTTTTTGCAGAAAATACAAATAAAGAGCACAAACAATTACTGTGACATGCTCGTGCTTTCTCCAGCTCTATTTTTTTTTGCCAAAATCAAGACGAGAAAAAAAGTGTTTATGTTCAAGTGACAGCGGAAATCCCTCACAACCACACCAAGTGACAACCCGTCTGTTCTACTTTGCACACATCTATGTCACGCAGGCAAGAAACTGCAGGGAAGAAGTCATTTATTGTGACTGGAGGTTGTTGTTTGACAGTCACGCAGTGTGCTTGCAGCTCAAGACTCATTTCATTGAGACAATATAGATAATAATTTATCTATGTGCTTCTTTTGTGTTTTGTTTTTTTTCCCCTACTTCCTGATGGTTGCCAGGGCATTATAATATCAAGGACATCTTCACCCTGTCCTTGACTGTATTGCTGATTTTTTTTCTTTTTGAATGCCTTTCGTTTGTATGTGAGCATAATTGCTGTTACTAACCAACAGCAGCATATGTTGACCAAGACATACATGGAATAAGCACATACAAAGCAAGGACGCACCGTCCCCAACGTTACACACCTCTGTACTCGGCAAGTCCGTGCCAGGAACGTGTAGTCATAGCTGCAAAGATGTACTGAGACAAGTTTAAAGTAACCATGCCATATATATTTAAGGGATCAAATGATTCACGTCCACTGCTATGACATTCGGTGCCATCTAAGCGCTGAAATACTTTCACTTCAAGAACACTTCGCTGTTATAAAAATATTTCATGTAGCTTCTGGCATCAAAGTCCACTGCTCTGGAGGGATATTTTTACCCTGCTGTTTGTACTGTCTTGTCATGGCTGTGCCCCTCCATGAACAATGTATTATTTAAACAGAAGGAGTGTGGAGATGGAAAATCATCTGAAGTGTATTATGTCTGTGAGGGTCAGGCAGAAAGAGAGGACATAATGCACTGATGCGCGCACATTTGAATGCGTGCATGCACCTAGCCAACACTGTGAATGTGAAAAAAAATGCAGACGTCGCCATCTTGTGGCCGCCAATGTGAAAACAACAACGACTGAGCTCTCAGATTTAAACACTTTACAACAGACATTAAAACATGACTAGACTTTAGTTTAACAAAAGTGCATCTTGTGGGAAATCAATCTAATGTGCTGCCAAAAATATCATGTTTATTTTCAGGTGTGCTCTTCATGCCGGACGTGATGTTCAGGCAACAGCTGGAATCGCACAGATGGCTGAGCTTTGCCCATATGTTACAGCTAATGACTATAGAATATAGAAGATGACAGAGCATTAAAATGCATGCGGGAAATGCGAGGTGCGGGAAGCTTGATCTCTTGCCGGTGGGAGGACTACGACGTTCCAAATAGAAATTTGATCTTTTTACATTAATGAGGCGTAACAATGTGCTGTTTGATGAATGAGAGCGTCGCACAAAGTACTAATTCATACTGGATCCAGCCTCTCTGTTTCTTTTGTGTGGAACTATTTTAATTTTCCAAGAATTCAGTCGCTTCTTGTAAGCGCACATGAATCTAAAGGAGGAAAAAAATCACGTTGATGACTCTGAATGTTCAGCATGAGCCTTAATATACACACATGTCCTTGAGTGTATTCATATGCCTATATTTGTAGTGTTTCCAGAATACATATTGAAATAGTGCAATTGTGCAGTTTTGAAAACCCTTCAAGAGCATCTCATGCTTTGTTTAATCAAGAAAACCGTACGTTTTGTACAACAAAGTGCTTTCCCCACCTCTGTGTCTATTTCGGATCGTCCGCTGTCATAAACACCGTCTTACAGTGTCTTGAGCGCGAGAGGCTTATTCGGCTACACCTTTGATGGTCAAGCGTGTCTCGCAAATTCAAATGATGGAGGTGCTGGCCATCTTCGAGCCAGGCTTTTGATCAGAGGGCTCTTCTGCAGGGCCATCTTTCTAATTAGGAGTTAACTGTGGGTGTCCTTGCTCATGAAACTCAATAGCCTCTACTCAAAGGCTGCTCTGTCCATCTGAAGACGTTGCCTTTGATCTGCGACAACAACATATTTACAAATCAAAGTCTCCTGCCAGCCGTAATGGTTTGTTGGAGCTTACGCGAGCGCTTGTGTGTGTGTGATGTGTGCACATTAAAGCGGCCGAAGACGTATCCGATTACATGTTTTCTCCATGGGGTTTGTATATGTATAGCCTTGAATGAATCCTACGGCATATACGCGCCTCCTCCCAGTAGACGCATGTTCCAGGAAAAGATTCGCTTCCACATTGATGTGCTGTTTGGACGTAACCAGCAAGATATCTGATGTCGCATTCTTCCCCGTCAGGGTGAAGTGTGAACTTTCAGTCGAGGAATAGATTTGTTATTAGCGCAGACAATGTGTGCTCCGTCCTCCTCTCCTCAGTGTGGTCTGTGTGTGTTTGCTTGTGGGGATGTTCCAGTTGAGGGACTTCAGGTGATGCTTTTAAAAAGAAAAAGAAAAAACTCTGATGTCAGTGACAGCAATGTGATTGGTGTCAGTGTCAGAACAGAACACCTTCAAGACCAACAATAGCACTCTGATAAATCACCTTGAGAGCCAGTGTTAGTGTTGCCACAGGTCTGATGGGTAAAACAGAGGCGGCCACGCTTGCTGCAAGACTCTGTCTGGTCCTGACTGAAACTATTTTAACTGTTATTGGATGTATTGCACTAAAATTCTGAATGTTCTTGAAATCATTGATGAGAATCACGTTTAAGAGTTTGAATGAAATGCCTCAGTAACTACTGGATGGAATTTGGAGTACACTTTCCTGCCTCTCTCAGGATAAATCACTTTCTGTGATCCATCAACTTTTACACATCACCATCATCAGATTTTAATTTGTAATTCCTTTGGATGCAACAACAACACTCTCATCCGCCTTGAACTTTGTGTTTTCTGATATTTGGCAGCATGCTAACACACATTGTATTTATGAGCCTGTCAGGATGACATTTGTTTCAGCCTTCAGTGCAGCGTCACACAGCTGTTTGTTGTCTGGTCTTTACACTTGCACATGTTTTCTTGGCCCGTGTAGCTCACACCTGGTTGACATTATACGGAGCCAGAATCAACACGTTTCTCCGAATGGCTCTGCGTTTAATTTTTTGATGATGTTTTCCTTGCTGCACCACACCAACAATGGAGAGTTTCTCAGTCCGAGCACAGCTTTATAGAATCATCCCTTTCCTTTCAGTTCAAGCCATGCCCGCAGCCTTTTTATTAGCTCATCCCCTCGAGTCACAGCTTCAACTTCTGCCATTCCCTATTAACTACAAGTCTGTATATTTTATATTCCTGCCTCTGTATCCTGTGTATATTTTACATTCCTTTAAAGCATACCATGCATTTTTATACCGTTGAAGACATTTCTTTATGTGGCTACTTTCAATAGATGCCACCACAGCATTAAAATCAACTACCACACATGTGAAGTTTCTCTGAAGACTCTCTGAAGTATGCACAGTTGATGTATAGTGATGCAGCTATGAAGAGGGACTGCTCGGTAAATTTCCCACGGGCCAAAAATGTTATTTTGGGTGTTGGAACCCAAGGAGAGTTGAGAGCTGCTGAAAACTGAGTTAAGCTTTGGGAGTCAACTGTAGCTGGATCTCCTGAATTTACAAAGTAACCAACAGTTTGACAAGAACTGCAGAGAGAAGTTATGCAAAAAGGTTTATTATTAGGCATGCCGCAAAAATACATTCTTTACATGAGCAACACGGATTCTTAGCTCAAACATGTAAGACTTTCTGCATTACCTTTGTTAGAATAACCAGAAATAGGCCGCATTGTCTATGATTTGTTATTCTATTTATATAAATTCATACTGAAATATTAAAGAAGTAGATGAATGCACCAATAAGGAAATGTTTCAAGGAAAATCTTTTTTGCCATTAATTGAAATCAGTGGCTGCCCGGAAAAGAAGGAAAATATATTCATAAATGTAAAAATGTTCGCTATTCCCTGGAAAGAGTTCACACTTTGCAGTTATGTGGAAAATGCACAACTCGTGCATGGTGATATGCAAATGGTAAAAAGCTGCGCAAATACTAGTGAAGTCATTTTCTCAAGTGCTTTGATATTAGCCTTTGAAATTTCATGCGCAGCTATCCAGGGGCCTGTTTTAAGAAATTTGCATCATGAAAGCTGTGACTTGAAACATGAGATCATCGTCTCTCGTGTTAATTTTGGCACTTTTAACTCATCAAAGCAAAATTACACTTGCGAGCCTTGCGTGACCATGGGAGAGGACGGCAGAACAGTCATTGTGAAACTGATTGCTGGCAACATTTGTGATCTGCGTGTAAGTAGCGCTTACAAATTGCTTTTGTAAAACAGCCCCTTAAGCCCCCCGAGTACGTCTCAGTCGCGGAATTAAAGAACAGATCATTAGCTGTGTCCCGCTGCCACCCCTTGTTCTTGCCCCAGTCCTGACCCCGGCTTTACTTCGCTCCCTGCTGCCCATCGCTACTGCCCTTCTCAGCCTCCAAGCATACGTTATTTTCATAACCCCCTTCCTGGGACACCAGATCACTGTCCAATTACCATGTTCATTTCAACCATCTACTGGAAATCAACACCGCAGGCTCCTGTGTAAGTCCAAAGGGCATTCCAGACACAGCATGCAGCTGCTTTTAGTGCGTCTGTGCTTGTGTGCGTGTGCCCGTCTGTTTTCCAACGCATGTCTTCATGTTGTCCTGCAATTAACAAGTGCAGAGCCATCTTTGGCTCAGTGGATGACTTCAGCTCAGCAAATGAATCACACTGACAGATACTGTTTAAGGATTGTGTTTCACGCAGAACATCGCCAGTATCACTGCCACGGCACTCTTAAGTTGTTTTTGTCGGTTGCAGTTGGGGACAGGTGTAACAAGCTTCTCTCTAATACGAAACCCCTGAAATCTCTTAAGGATGATTCATACTTACATAACCACTCTTTCAATATAGCCCCAAGTGTTACGTTGTTTTGTTGTATCTCCATGGTTAGTAAATGACACAAACAGTGTACGCTTTCTTTTATGAGGCAAATTAATTCATGGAACAGATTGTGGCTCATCGTCAATGAGATAACGTGTAAAATATGCACGTGTGCTTGATGAGTCGACTTGTAAATATCGACGAGTTAGAAAAACATGATGTAAAATATGACAATAAAAATAGTAGCGACATGATCGAAAGTGGTTTAAATGCTTGACAGTCCTAAATTCTCAGTTACTGTTCAGTCACACATTGAATCGGTTATTAATACTGTAAGTATGTCTGAGTAAATGGTATTGAATAGTGTCGTGGGCAAACAGAAGAACAGCTGGAGCAGGCGTTTGCCAGAGTATTGTGCTAAGAGCATGGATGCAGGTCAGAGGAACTTATTTGAAGTGAATGAAATGGTGTATGTGCTACACTAAATAGAGGGCCTCAATAGTCATCTGTTAATATATCCTTTGTGACTGTCAAACACTGCATCCTCTCCTCTGTGGTCCTCACCTTTCAAAATTTGTTGTTCCCCCACCAGCTGTGACCTTTATTCAAAGGGGTCAGCAAAAAGAGTGCGACTGTGCATGTGCGTGAGTCCGTGCACGAGGAAGGGGGGGGTTGGCACACGCGAGTCGAAACGGCATGAGGAGGACTTGTCACCTCGGTTCATTGAAATAGGTTGGCATACGTCTGTTCAGACCAGACACAGACAGTGATTGTCAGTTACTGTTAGCGCTTCAGCTCAATTGAATCTTTTAAAAATCTGGAACAGAAGAGCCCATTTCAGCTTTTGATTTGCACCTCCTCAGGATATTAAACTCATCCGATCAACTGAAGCTTTTTCTCTTTCTTCCTTTCTTTTTAAAAAAAGAAAAATAATCTGCTTATGGGACACCCCCCGAAGAATTTCCTGTCTTCTTGTGATACTTTAGCTTGTGTTCGAGTGGATGACACTACACTTGAGTTGGAGATTTATATACAAGTGCTACAGAGGTGTCTTTTGTTGGAGGGCTGCCCTGGGCATTGCGCTGGCTCGGAGTTAAAGCTTATCCCTGTGGGACTCGGTGCGCAAGAAATTTTTCACAGTGAAGGATGGAAACTTGGGATACGGACTCCGAGGATTCGTGCGACTGGGGCGACTCCTCTGAAGAAGAAGCATCATCAGAGGAAGATGAATTTGATGTCAAATTTAATAAAGAGTAATGCCAATCCCACAGTGATGTGTGTTGCCCGTGGAGAGTGATGTTTTCATTGCGTGCCAGTTCCATTTACGGCGTGAATGGAGTTGAATAAGACATGACTAAGTGTTAGGTTTTAACTGTGTCCATCCTCGCAGCTCTGATGAAGCCTTTTAAAATGAATAATAATGTAATTTAATAGCGGCTACGCAGTGTGTGATTACTGGATGAAGTGTTTTAGCTTTGCCGCTTTTCCTAATTATGTTGTGTTGTCATTTTCTCCAGGGAGGACATCAGGACAGCCAGCGTCATTGCAGCAGAGGCAGTTACCTGTCTAGTCATCGATCGAGAGTGAGTATCGATAAAATGAATCCCCAAAGAACTTAAAGATTGTTCTAGACGGGCGATTCTTTCCTTCTTCTTTTTTTTTTTCTTGCATGCAACCAGTGGTACAAGAAGTCAATGAATAGATCAATGAAAGCAAAACTAGCTCACAAATCCTGCTTTTAATGACAAGGACAGTGTCATGCAAGTGTTACTTTTACTGAGACATCAGCATGAACCCATTTTTACACCTTTTCGTGTGGCAACAACACATTTCATTGCTTTTCATTTCGAAGCTCAAAAGAAAAATCAGCATTATCATAGAAAATTGTATTTTATCTAAAATTACCCAGCATACTCATTTTCAATAACTTCAGATGAATGTGACCTTGCACGTTATTCAAAGTAAAACATGTAAAAAAAAGAAAAAGCTGAAATCAAAAGCACACTTGCTCACTTTAATATGATCAGTGAGTTTGCTACAGCCGTACTTAGTCTCTTCTCTGGTTTTTCTAATGCTAAACTGATTCATCAAGTGTCACTTATGGCTTCATTGAAAGTCTGTCAGGCAAAGTTCCATAGTATTGCTTTGAGTAGCTGCATACAAAGTCATGATCATCACCTTAAGTTGCCTGAATGGTCCGTTTTCCATGTTCAGGACTGACTAAATTATCAGTGCTTTCTAGACTTAAGCCTAAAAAACAAAGAAAAACTCCAGAGATCTGGACTTGCTTTGTTAAATGATGTCAGGAAACCAGGTGTAAAATGTGTCCTAAATCCACCTTCAGCAAAGAATTTAAATGTATGCAAGATTTCTGCAGGAATGTCTAAAAACAAAGGTTGTTTTTTTTCCCGCTGATGTTTATCAAGACATTACCAAAGAACATAACCATATTTTTCAGCTTCACAATAATCTCTTGCTGTTTTCCTCTTATTACACTAATACGTTTTGACGTTTCATACCAATGTTTCATAAACTGCAGCTTTAAAGAAGTAATGTGGCTCCCAAAAAAAAAAAAAGTTCATAACAGGTTACTATCTAAGGAAACGGTTAGTCTCTGAGCATCTCTGTCTCTAGCATTAAGTCCTGTGGTGAAAATAGAGAGAACAGACGGGTTGGGCATGGGGAGGAGACGGTATCAGCTTACCCAGGGCCTCCCTTTGGCCTCAGGGAACACGGCAGGCACAAATGGGCCATCCTCACAGCCAGCAGTGGGGATTGTGAGTGAGTCATCCAGCACAGGTGATTACTGCTGCCTTTCATACTCGCAGCTAATGCCGTCGCAACCCACGAAGCTACTTCAATGTGTCTGTGTGTGTGTGTGCCATCCAGCCAGGCCAGATCGGTGCAGGATATTTAGTTTATTCTTTGCTTTTCTGTGCGCCTATATTCATTTTCAGTCCATCCCATGCATGCCTTTAAAATGAAACAGTGCAGCTTTTAAGAGGGAAGATGAGTATAATTGCAGGAGCCGTGGGAAACAGACAGGCAATAAAAAAAAAAAAAAACAGCAAGCAGCAGGGAGCCATTGCAATAGACACTGCAGACAGCCAAACATTTAAAGAAAAGCTCAGCTCAGAAACAGTCCCGTCTTAGAGGCATTATGGTCTCAACAGGAGAAAACACCAGATGCATTGCATCTCCTGGCTGACAGCTTGATGAGCCTTGCCTGAAAATTGTCTCGGCTAGTTGTTCTTCCAGGATGTCTTTTGCATAGGCAGTCATACTTCAGACGGAAATGAGCCGAAGCACGGGTGTGTTTTTTTTTTTCATGTTGCACATCTCCCCACGGGTGCAAGCGTGGAGGATTTGATATCAGAGTTTGTGTATTATGTAGCTTATTATTCCTCAGTTCACATCTTATCATAGTCTTTCCTTAACTTTCATATCCTCTGTTGTCACACTAATGAGAATTCACAGATTAATTCTGATTATTGCAGTTTTAACTATAAAGGCGTGAAAAGAACATTCTTGCACTTTTCTGTTTCAGTTAAATAAACGACTTTACTAACTACTGAAAAAGATACCGTCATGGGAGTTGTATGCCTAATGATGACTTTTATAATATTCAGTGACTTCTTTATCACTGAGCACAGTATGTTTTTTTTAATGTAATTCATTCAGTAAAAGAATTTATGCACAGTCTCGCCCACCATCTGCTATCACACTGTTTTACACCTCTTCGGGGTAGCTCTATCTTCTCGTCTGTCTTCTCATCTGTGAGTTTTTGAGGCTTGTCTCTAAAAGCAGACTGATGAATATTTAATAGTAACTGGCAGTGTTTTTTACGACAGTCTGGTCATACATTGCACCAGCTTCTTATACGGACTGCTTTAGTCCTTTTAACCATAAGCTGTTCACTCATTACATATGGTACTGGGGCACATGTGAAAGAGTGTAGAATCAAATAGTTTCTGTTTTAACATTTACTGTCTGCGTTTCAGTTCATTCAAGCACCTGATTGGAGGTTTGGAGGATGTGTCCAGTAAAGGTCACGAGGACGCTGACGCCAAAGCCAAGTAAGACAAATACCAATTACTGTTACGCATGAATTAATAAAAATTTCCACTATGCAAATATCTCCTACTGCTTTGTGCTTCATGTTGATTTTTCAGTTTTGTTTCTTTTCTTGTAATTAGTTAATTTGACTTTCACTTTCCTCAAACTTATCGTGACTGCCCAGCCGCGGTAATGTTTCATAAAGAAACATGCTCGGGGCCAGCTGTTAATTCTTAGTGCCGTTAGGTGTATTACATAACAAGACAATACCCGGGTGGCAACCCAGAAAGCAGAGGCTGTGACCTCCGCCTCTATTTCTGGAGGAATTAATATGTACTCTATTTATCGTAACTATGGAAACAAGAGAATAGCATTAAAGACGGCGCAGGCCGGGCATCTTGGCAATGAGGTGGGCATCTTGGGGTTGATTCAGTCATCTACTGGCATAATCTGACACCGCGTTCACTCTGCGCTATGGTGTGATTCAAGGTGGGGAGAAACAAGAGCTCAGTAATGACAGATTACAGGGAGCGAGAGAGCAGAAGCAGCTTATCTGATATGTAGATAGATGGCTGGAGTGAAGAGAGACAGCGAGAGAACAAGACCGGTGACAACGCAGACAAGACTTCTGTCCGATGCTTTGGATTTACAGCTGACCGCTGAGAGTGCCAGTCATCTTTTGCGAGTCAGTGGCATTTAGTCAGCAAAGAGCAGAACATAACACCAGTTACTGAGCTGGAAAGATGCAGTGAAAGAAGAGAGATAGGATGGGTTGAACGAGGGTGCATTGGCTTACCTCGGGCATTCATCCTTGACCCGGTGCCTCTTACGGCTCACTAAAGAAACCTGCATTTTGATTTCATGCAAATGAGGGGAAAAAAAAAAAGTCATGTGTCTTCATGGCTGTCATTTGTTATCTTATCATCAGCCCCATTCTCTGCAGGGCTTCACCTCAAAATAGAACCACTCATTCCCTCTGCTCCCTGAAACCTGTCTCATCAAAACCGTTTTCACCCTGATTAAGGTAGCTGCTCCCCGTCGTGTGCGCTCCCCGCCCAGCAGGGCACGTTTGTTTCTTGGTGAGGAAAAGCCTGAGTCAGGATCCCCGATGATGGAAACTATCTCTAATTGGTCACAGCGGATAAGCAGATATCAACAGTACTGTAACTATACGGCAAACTGCAGCTGTTCTTTGAGGTTGGCAGGTTTTTTTTTTTCTTCAATGACTACCTCCCTGCTTTAGACATTGTTTTTGATCAAGCTGGTCCTTCTCTCTGCAGGAGGAGCACAAATACATCCATCTCACTTCACTTTCTACATGCATAAAAACTGCTATTTTGTTTATTTGAAGGCATGGAATCTGAGACAGAAATATTTCAAGAATATAATTATGTCGAATCCAGTTTCCTGGAGCTCTTTATGTGCGTGTCATCGCAACCGCTGATTGTCTTATAAAGGCATAAAGGACCCTAAAACGCTTTTTCTCTTTCCTGCTTGCTCAAATTAAAGCAGCCATTCACACTGTGCTCGGATCAGTTAACACCTGCTTTCATTCTCCACTTTTTTTGTGCTGAAATTGCTCTGTACTTTCAAACTGCCATCTCCACATTAGACTTCCACTTACTGTTAAGCAGTAATTCAGGCCCATCCAGCTTAAAAAAAAAACCCTTTATGACTGAAGATTGATGGGAAAATATGACCCGGTATGACTCAGCATGTCCCACGTCTTTTGAGCAAGTGTAGAAGTTCAATAGGCAGAAATTGCTCGTAAATAAAAGTGACATTTAAGGAGAGTCAGTTTTAAGGTCAGGAGTGCTTTCCTCTCTTCTCTCTCTTGCTCCCTCGAGTCAGGCTAGACCAAGAAGAACTAGAGCAAAGTAAATGAGGATAATAACGCACACACACACTCGCATACTCGCACACAGTTACACACATGGGGATTGCATCATTTTTATGACCTCATCCGTTCAGTGATACAGATTATCACCCACCAGGGTGCTACTTGACCTGCATAGGAACACTTTGTATTGCTGTGCTGGTAATGGGCTCGCCAGATAGCAGGAACAACTAGCATTTTATTTAAATGCCACGTAAAAGGCCTTGAAATGCATATACTGTGTAACTAACCAGGATTACGTTTCAGTGTTCGATGCCGATGAGCTCTGTGTTTATTCAAGGTCGTGGTTTAGACGTCTATTTAAGGTGGTTCCAGTCCCACTGGATCTGCTCACCAGTGTCATATTCCAGTTTCCGACATCTCATGCTTCGGACACAGACATAGACGAGGGTTTTCTTGTGCTGAGAAAATCTGTATCTATATATCTGCTTCAGTAAATATCTACACAATTCATTGATTCCCTCAATGTGTTCTTGGTTGAGACAGACTCGGTACATTTCAGTTGTAGTGAATTGACTGGTTTCAAGGTTGTCCCATTTTATTCACTTCAGGAATGTATTCATCTTTTGTACAGAATAGAATACATCTCCATTTCCTGTGTGTTGTCTTAACATAAAAGATAACTTTGTGGTTCAGCTTTGACTGAGTTTCCGTTCATCACTTTCTGCTCCCTATGCTGCCATCTGCTGGCTGAATGACGCCATTACTAATAAATCTTCTTAAGCCCCTCACAATGTAAAATTATCCCCCGAGTTTTGATCCCTTTATATCTTGACAGAATTTGCAACACCTCCTTCATTAACAGGACCCAAACATATCATGTCTCATCAGTTTCATGTGTGACTTCTGTGCTGGTCACCTTGACCTTAGTAATAATCCTGCCACGCACACGGTAATTCATGCACTCTTGGTTACTTCTCACCGTCCTTTTTCTTAAGTAGAGATCACGTTGGGATTTAGAGAGTTTTCTGGGCCGACTTCCAGAGGAGGGGAGGGGAAAGAAAGATGAAAGGATCACCTGTAAATCTCACATGATAGTAGTAGTTCCTATATACACACACAAATAAACCGTGAGTGTCCTAGTAACCTTATGTGTTTCTGAGAAACACTGTGCTGGGTAACCTGCCAACACGTGCCACCACAATGCCCACTGGCATGTAGCTCAGGGAAAAAGGTTTAATTGTCCTGGCTTGCAGTTTAACTGATGTCTCTGTTGCATCTGAAATGAGTGAAATTCCCTTTTTATATCTGAGACGGCCACATAACCCAGGATGAAGTGAGGCCAAAGTAGCACATTCCTACGGAACAATGCTCATAAATGTGAGCCATTGCTTTACTTACTTTTGTGTAAATAAACTTAATCCCTGCTGCTCCATGCAGGAAGACTGCTGACTTATCTAAACAAGTCTTCCTTGTAGGTGCTTTTTGATAAATCTCTGTCTATTGGCATACAGCAGTGCCGTTTTTGTGAGAAAAAAGGGCTGATGTAGAAGCGATACTTGATTCTGAGTGACCCAGAAAGGCCGGTCCACGCTCAGATCTGTCCTAAGCCCACTGATCCAGAGACTGAGCTGATGAAACTCTGTCTGGATCAAACAATAACTAGAGAAGACATGGGGCATCTGGGGATAAGGGATGGACACGTGGAAACAATCTCCGCTGCCAGCATGTGCAGGTCAGCAATGGCATGTTGTGGTGTTCAGTGGCAGAGCCAAGGCATGTCTTCAGAGCCAGCTGAGCAGAGAGCGGCTTGTGTGATGGATATCCCATCTTTATTCTTTCCTATCAAGAATGGGGACAGGCTGGGGACAGTTAGTCTGTGTTCAAAGAGAGGTCAGAGTTGTTTTCCAGAGCACTGAAGTCAAACACATCCTGTTCATGTGTTCATATTTATACACTCCACATCCTCAATAACATCCTCGATAGATTACTATGAGTTAAATCCTCTAAGATTTGCAAACAAATGAGCTCAAGGAGAGACGGATATTTTGTCTCAGGTTGTTGAAAGTGGATTATATGTTCTTTCATCCTTCATCTCATCTCTAATCCTGTTCCGATTTTTTTCTTTCCCCCTAATTTTTTTTCCCTGGCACCACAGGTACGAAGCAGAGAATGCGTTTTTCTTCAATCTCAACCTGGCTGACTTCAACATCATCGACACTCTGGGTGTTGGTGGCTTTGGACGTGTAGAGCTGGTACGTGGCACTGCACTGTAACATTAACATACATGACATGAACACGCAAGGTCACGTGCAACCTGACTTTTGTGTTTCCGTTTCTTTCTGTCCTTCTCGCTGCAGGTTCAGCTCAAGAGCGATGAGAACAAAACCTTCGCCATGAAGATCCTGAAGAAGCGACACATTGTTGACACGAGACAGCAGGAGCACATTCGTTCAGAGAAGCTCATCATGCAAGAAGCCCACTCTGACTTCATTGTTAGGTACATCCCTCCGAACAGCTTCTTTCAAAAGCTGTACAAATAATTACACTGAATATGCCACGTATATATCCTGAGGACCAGCACTTTATTACCTCGGAGCCAGAAGGACCTGGATTCAATTATTAGGCTTTTCTCTGTGGGACTTGCAGCACTTGCTCTTGTTAACAAAGGTTTCCTTTTGCAGACAACAAACATGTGCATATTATAAAAAAGGCTAAATGATTCCAAGTTATATGATCTTACAAAAATGATGTTTTGTTTTTTAAGTTGCTGTGTAGGGTTTTCAAGCTATTTATGATTCAAACCAGACAGGTTAGCTAGACGACGCTGAGAAAGTACAACCTCGGTGCAACCACAGTCAGTTTACCTGTGACCGCTGCAACAACAAGTCATAAGTCATGTAGTTTCCAATCAAGGCTAATTGCGCAAACATGGTTACGAAATGACCACAGATTTCTTCATTCTGGCCTGGCTTTCGTCTAACGTAGCATGGCTTGACATGGTAAGAGGCTGCCTGAACAATTAAGAAACCAGATTGTGAGGCTTCATAACGACGAGAGACAGTACAGCAGGATACTGAGCCTCGGCCAAATCACAGTTTCAGCAGTGGTAAGAAGGTTTAGGTAAAGCCACGCTACCAATAACAGATGGTTCACTAGTCATCCTCGAATAATGACGCTACGCTCCATTTGCTATTTATTAAGTGCTTCTGACTTGGCGCGAGGATTGTCCGTGGAAAATGGTGCTTCAGTGACCGCTCAGACACTGTGAAGGACATTGCATGAAGTCAGCCTGTGCGGATGGTGTCCAAGAAGAAAACCATTGCTGACAAAATGGCACAGAACTGCAAGATTGAATTTTGCCAAAGAACGGGAAAAGAAGCAGGATGAATGTTGGCAGCACATTCTTTGGTGAGATGAAAACCAAAATAAATTTGTTTGGATCACATTGGGTCCAGCTTGCTTGGCATGGGCTTGGCCAGGACCACCACAGTGACTGCATAGTGCTGACTGAGAAACATGACGGTGGGGGTGTGCTGATATGGGACTGCAGAGGGTATAGGGAAGCTGTCATTCTGAGACAGCGCTCTGAATGCAAGCTTGCCTTCTAAAATACTAAAAGCAAAGACGACTCCCAGGGTTAAGATGCTTGGCAGGAGAGATGTTTTCCAACATTAGTGGTTTTAAAATAAGGAAAAAGTGAAAAACTTGGCCTGGACAAGGACTTAAATCCAATTAAACACCTTTGGCGTATTTGAAAACATTTTTAGGGTGTACTCAGTTTTGTTGTGTACTTACAAGTTAAGTTAATTGGAAACAGTCTGGATGAGGTGCCGAATGAATGTATGAAAGTATGAGTTCTTAGGAGGCTACCTGTGATGCAGACACAGTATGAACACATATCTAGCTAATAGCAAATAGCTGTATTTCTCAGCTTTGTTTCTATTCGGTGTTAAAAAGAGCATTTTGATTTTAAATTGCGTCCTACACAACTGGTGGTTGATTTGGCTTTAACTGAATATTTACAGTGTAATGCTTGTTTAAAGATGTAATTTTAATGTAACATATTGGTGTTAGAGATCATTTTATAAGTGCATAGAACAGCTTTCAAGTTTTAAATATGCATTCCTGCATTGATTTAATGTTTCTTTGTGCACAATGATCATTTGAAATGTAAGCATTTGAAGGCAGCTGTTGAAGATGAAAAACTCTTTTGTGTGTTTTCAGACTTTATAGAACCTTCAAGGACAGCAAGTACCTCTACATGTTGATGGAAGCCTGTTTAGGAGGAGAACTGTGGACCATCCTTCGAGACCGGTAAGCTCTTTTTCTCCAGATCATATAAAGGATTTGTGTCATCCACATACAGGGAGCGGGTACTATAAAGCATAGTGTTGCAGTTGAAGTAATGGTGGTCAGTCTTTGTGCGATGCTCTTTTGCAAGATTTGCTTTCATGTCTACAGGACTTATAATTTATCCAAAAAGTCACTTCACATTTTATTCTTTGACATAAATCACAAGTTTTTATCTTAACACTTTTTAAACAGCAGAACAATAGCTTTGTAGTCATATTAATGGCATTTTGGTTAGAATATGTTAAATCATGTGGTGATTTTCTGAAACCGCTCACTTCTGGTATTTTGACAAAAAGATTTGAAGGCTGTCATGGTAACCTGAGCAGGCGGAACCTGCTGCTTGGCCTAAGAAAAGACATCATTGTTGGACTATTGTACTTGTCTGCTGCCAGTACTGGTTTGCATTTTTACTCATTTTATTCGAAATTCATCTGATGTCGTACTGTGTTTCCAGGGGTTCATTTGAGGACTCAACCACCAGGTTTTACACAGCCTGCGTGGTGGAGGCTTTCGCTTACCTGCATTCCAAAGGTATCATCTACAGAGACCTTAAACCAGAGAACCTTATATTGGACCACAGGGGTTACGCCAAACTGGTAAGAAATCGATATGGAACCATCCTTCAAAAAAAACATCTTAATTGGACTGTTTGCTCTGAAAAGACTGAAATAAGGCAAACAGGAGAAATGCCGTCTTTCTATGATGGTAAAATCACACAAATTTTGAACTTGGCTGTAAATAAAAGTTTCGAGGCATACTGCCATTTACTTGTCTCCTCATGCAGAAAGCCAGTTTGTCTCATTTGGCAGTGCGGCAACCAGCAGCGCAGCTATTTCTATTCATTATGCCAAAGTCACTAATGCCACCGTTTCAATCTTCAGCAATATGACACATAAGAATAAACATGATCTGACACAAATAAGAACCAGATTGATATAAAGTGGATTCAAATTCATATTTAACTTTGCACAACTGAATAAAATCTGTCAATGCAATCTTCCCTTTCTTCAGGTGGACTTTGGCTTTGCCAAAAAGATCGGGTTTGGGAAGAAAACGTGGACCTTCTGTGGGACACCGGAGTATGTAGCACCAGAGATCATTCTCAACAAAGGCCATGACATCTCAGCCGACTACTGGTCCCTAGGAATCCTCATGTTTGAGCTCTTAACTGGCAGGTACAGACAAGCCTGGGCATGTCCATAAGAACTTGTTTATTAGGTATATCCGGTGATGACGTGTGTGTTACCTTACAAAACTCTATTTGGAGTGTTTTCTAAAGCAGGTGGCATATTCAAGCATAACTGTTTTGTGCAAACTGTTAAATTGTATATGATTGAATCCTTTCCTTCTATTCTACCTAAACCTAATATCTTGGCCTGTGTTATTAGTCCTCCATTCTCTGGCCCCGATCCCATGAAAACCTACAATATCATCCTGAGAGGCATCGACATGATTGAATTTCCAAAGAAAATTACCAAAAATGCTGCCAACCTTATCAAAAAGCTATGCAGGTAAGTGTCAGTGCCTCTGGCGCTTCAGCTCACAGCGTTTCAGTTAAGTGCTCTGTATACTGAATTATTTGGCTTTTTTTTTACTACGTCAGGGATAATCCTTCTGAAAGACTGGGAAACTTGAAAAACGGTGTCAAAGACATCCAAAAGCACAAGTAAGGACACTTGTTAGTGAATGTAATAACTTTATTCATTCGTTTCCCTTCACAGTGTTATTGTGTAACACGATGCTGTTTTTACTTTAGATGGTTTGAGGGCTTTAACTGGGAGGGTTTGAAGAAGGGGACATTGACGCCTCCTATTATCCCTAATGTAAGTGCACGTTGCTGACAGCCTCACTCGTTACATGTTTTTGTCTTGCAACTCCTCTTTTGTTGTCAGTCACACCCGTTGAAATCCATTCAATGTCGTGGCTGTTTGATTTATTCTTTTGTCTTTCTGCCAGGTCACATCAGCAGTCGACACGAGTAACTTCGACAGCTTCCCAGAGGACAACGAGGACCCACCTCCCGACGACAACTCCGGCTGGGACGTTGATTTTTGAAGTCCTCCTCTCACCTTAAAACCAAAAGAAACTCTTCTTTTGTTGGCTTTTTGATGGCTTGGAGGCCATCTTGGAGGACATGGCTATGTTGTAAAAAAGAAAAAAGAAAAAAAAAAAACTGCGTTAAAAATGAAAGAGAGGATATGGAAGAGAAGATAAACAGTTGGATGGCAAACCCTCTGGGTCACCGATATGCCTTTATTTCACTGTGGCTCTGGATCAAGCATTTACAATGGGACTGCTGTAGCACTTCTTCGGTGTTGTCTTACGCTAAGGTCTGAAGGCAAAGGCAAAGAAAGTGCAGGGATACACTTACACACATACACAATACAACAGAGGCTGATAATGGAGCCAGGTTTTCCCATGTAACAGGGAAAGACGCTTAGTGGATGGATGGATGTTTGATAGTTTGTCTAAGATGTGGTTCCAGGATAAATAAGAGTGTGAATCTGTGGAGGTCTACTCAAAAAGGGAGGAGGCTGATGATTGATTTCTTTCTAGGTTTGCTTCTCTGCAATATTTGGTGAAATATTGGGTAGACTTTGATGGGAGGGGATAAGATGTTACTGCAGTTGCTCCTTGGTTTTCAACATGCAGCTGCTTGCCGCAGTCTGCGATACTTTCTAGAGATCTCCACACTACAGTTTGCAAGATAAACTGGTATCAAGTGCTCAAGACTAACCTGAATGTCAGTTTTTCTTCTTATCTAACATACGAACGGCATACAGTGGTGTATGGTACATAGTATTTGAATTTACAAGTTACAGCGTCACACATGAACACAACTGGGCTAAAATCAAATACTTAGTACGCTTTGTGTAAGATTAATCTACCTTGAAAAGCACAAACACTGTGCATTCAGTGGAAAGAGACGTGACTCTTAAAGTGCCCTGCTTAAAATTTAATGAATCACACACCGGCACACATGAAATGTCAGCTAGTATTTCCATGAAGCAATGTGTCATTATGCACTTAAGACCATTAACTGAGAAAATCAGCAGTTATAGCTCATTTTAAGCTTCAGTAGACGTCACACTGTTGTTGTTTTTTTTGGGGGGGTTCTTTAAAATGCTTTTATTCACTCATATGAATGCCTCTCTGCCTACATTCTTCTTCAGTTGAAATCACCCAAATGCCTCTTCTTGTTCACCCAAACCGGACGTCCTCTGTTCGCTCTTGTATAGTGCTGACATAACTGTGAACATGGTTTCAATGTCTTTGGTGCTGTTGATAAATTATAATAAGCGATGTTGAGATGACAGTACTGGTTATTGTTTTTGTATCGTGATTTTATTTTGTGCTTGATTACTTTGTATTGTACTTGACGTCACTCTTTAGAAAATTGGAGACTTGTGTACGTTTGTAGACTTGAGTGACAATTTGTTTGATATCACTTGATGCCATGCTACATCGTGCTAAGTGGTATTCTCAAGGTTTTTAAAAAGGTTTAACCGTGTTACGTTCATCCGTATAAATTCACCGTTCTGTTGGTTGTTTTTTTAGAGCTGAAATTGACCACAATCACGTTATCTCAAGACTATCCTGACTTAACATCTTATGGAAAAAGTTAATATGTCTCCTACAGACAAACAGCGGACGAAAAACAGATTATATTTTGCGAAAACTCACAACTTTCGACCACTAGCGCCACGGTATCTCAACCATCACCCAACTCATCACCTCTCGCATCCCAAAATCTGATCATGAAATCAAAAGGAAAGTAAGTGCCTTAAGTCAATGGCATACGAAATTAACATCACAAGACCTTTTCAATGCTGCATGAACACATATACACCTCAAAAAACTTATGTGTCCTCTTAGATGGCTGCTTTTCATCCTTTGTTATATCCAATAAATACATTAATCACCATGGAAGGAGAATTTCTAGTCATTTGATGGCTGACAAAAGTGTATATGAAGTAAATTTCCTGCTTACGCCTTTGATTTATCTCACAGGAACATTTAGTAACAGTAAAAATGATTCTCTCATCCCTGATAAGGCTGCAATGACATGCTTTTCTCTACATATCTAATGTGATCTGATGAATTCAACCACTACTGGCCTGATATTAAACACCAGTGAGCATTAATCTCAGCTCAGAAGGACCATCCATCACCTGTTAGAGTCATTGACATCTGAGCATTTAGAGACGGCAAGAATGATTTGCAGTTTTGAGCGGTTCACAAAAAAAACAATCCTCTTGTTTACCACTGTTGACAATCTTTAATGGTATGATAGCGTTAATGCATAATGAGTCACATTCGCATTTGATTAGATGAAGTCATATTTCACCCCATGCAGTCGAGCAGACTGACGCATTTACATCCAAATTTACAGAAATCTCTTGATGGAAAGCTAAAAACAAACAAAAAAAAAGAGAAGAAATCTTTATTCTGTAGATACAACATAAGTATTTTACTGTGTTAACGGCAGGTTATGTTTATCACAAAGCCTTATGGATGTCATCACTTTCCAAACCACTGGTTTTGAGTTTTTCTATGGACTGCCTTCTGCAAAGTTACCTGATATTTGCCTTGTGTTATGTTGTTTTTTCTGCTGTAAATTCATTTTGCAGAGTGCCACGTGTAAGATTTTTAAAATTATAGAGTAAAAAACAATACTTTTGAGTCGTGTTTGTCTCTTAGTTATTTGACTACCTGACTGAGAGCTGGTGCTGTGGACATTTTTTTTTTACAGTTTGCTGCTGCTGCCACACGAGGGAGCTGCTGGTAAGAAGAAGAAAAAAAAAACAAAACACAAAATCATCTCCCATGACTCCAGTGCCTGAGAACTGCTGGTGAAGGTTCCCTGAGATCTAATAATCAGCCCTAGAGTTAATGTCATCCACTTAGTGGTAAGTGGAGATGATTCAGCTTCTCTGGTCTTCGTGTTATTCGCACAACAAATTTGTTTGGTGGTGGTGGTGGTGGTGGAGGAGGGGGGACAGGGAAATGGCTTCAGCTATAACAACAGGGTGACACTTCTGCGAGATCAAAGGGGATCAAAGTGCATCAAAGGAGCTCACCTTACCAGCACTGACATTTAGTAAAGTGGAGATAAAAGCTCTACTTCAAAAGATATGCAGCAATTCAAACGCGTAAAGTGCTAGTGTGTTTGTCAGGTGTCTATGGCGCATCTCCAACGCGCGCGCGTACACACACACACACACACACACTGGGCTGTACCTGTCCAGCAGATGACGTCCAAGTGCCAAGTTGCCTTCACGGAGACACTGAAGGGCTCGTTTCCATCACGCACTTTGGCACCTGTGCCGTGCGCACTGACTTTGGCACACGCTGCATAAAAAACGCGCAAGTAAATTTATGAAGTCAGAAAGGCACCTTAAAGATTTTAAAGTTAAAAACAAAACTGTCATTTGACAGAAATAAACTTTTCTTTGCAAATTATTACTTAACAACTCTTAAAGAAATCAGATTTTAGTTTTTTTTTTTTTTTTTTTTTTTTTTAAACAAACGATTGTTTATTGGGAGAAAGGTGGAATAATGGACTTTGGTTGGCAGATTTGGGTCAAAAACACATTTTTGAAACTTAATTTGAATATTCGTGAATAAATATCCCCATCAGTGTGGACATTTCTTGCAGTGGTGGAGCCCAAAGGGTCAGAGAGCAGGACAGATCAGAGTCGCCTTTAATCTCAGAAGTGCCAGTCAACCCTGAAAGGCCTCTCCGCGGAAGTCCATTAATTCGGTAAACTTTTCACACCCCTTAATGGTCTGCATATCCTACACATTGATGTCCGCCACTGGTGTAATCAAGCGCACTTTGGAGGATAATTGCCCCCTTTGCAATCAGAGGGATCAAATGAAGTAGTTAATCGACGCAAGTGACTTCAATCAGTCTTCACACAGCCAAAGGGCAGTTAGTCTACTTGGATGTCAAAGAAAACTGGAATAACCGAACAGCTTTTTTTACAAAGATGGGCAGTTATGAAGAAAAGAAAGAAAGAAAGAAAAAACGCATCGTGAGGGATGCTGTTGAAGTTCTGTTGCAGTTATAAAGGAAAAGCATCTAAGAAATAAAACGTGCTGCTGTGGCCACATTTGTGCTCTAACTTACACATATGGCAGCATGAAAGTCATTAAAAGAGAATATATGGACAAATGGCTGATCATTAATCCAATTGATCTATAATATAGGAAAATGTCTTGTCTCATTATCTGTTTTTGTTTGAAGGAAAGAATCATTAAAATAATAACATCAAATGAGTTCTAATTTGAGACATTTTCCCTCAAAATGCTTAAGTTAGTGTTTAAACGGGGGAAAATAAGGCACACAAGTTGACAAAAATGAAACTTAGAAAACAAAAAAAAAAGAGAAAAGGAACATGAATTGGATCGCTATTTTAAATTGAAAGTTAGATTTTTAGTAGATTGAGTTGGCACTGACACTTTATTTCTCCTGTGCGTCATTAGGTGATGGGCATTCAGACAGACTTTGCAGGTCATTATCATTACACAAACACTGTGAAGCGTAGTCCTGTGCACGGAGAATGATGGCTATTTCCGTACAGTGGGGCTCTGTTTGAAATTCCACCCCTCCGCCTTTGTTGTGCACAGCGAGGGGCGGGAAGACAAACAGGTCCACATGTATAAAGAGATCATCCCAGGACTGCGAGTCAGGAGACTTCCAAGCATCGTGCCGAAACTCTCTGGAAACTTTGGGGATTCGGGATTCAAGGCCGCTTTTGGACTTTGTCACTCAGTCTTTTTAAAAATATATTTATTTATTTTTTTCTCCCAGCAAAGCAGAAGGGATTTTTTTTTTCTTTTCGCCTGTGTGCTTGCAGCAGAATTTTAAAAAGGAGAATCATGCAGATGCCTTCAGCGCGCCGCTTCTTGGCTGTGTATCTCACGCTGTTTGGATACCTTGGGGACGTTTACGCAGGGGCAGTTCTGATGAACTCCAACGCCATCAAAAACTTGCCCGGCGCTGCGGTTGGCAAAACTACCGACACTGTCAGTCCGAGTCCGCGCACTTCACCCTCCGGCAGCGTGGGACACAAATTACCCGTGGACACCTTGCAGGTAATTAACTTTCCCCGTGCGTAAAAGTCGAGTCTGTGCGCAACGACGACAAAAAAAAAAAATAAGTTGCGCTCGTCTAAGTTTTGTAATAGCAGAACATTTTGTGACACGTTGCTTTTGTTTTTATCATACTGTAGCAGTCAGGTGTTTGCACGGATGACGAAGACTGCGGAGGGGATGAGTTCTGCAACGACGCTCGGGGCGCCTGCCTGCCCTGCCGTAAGAGCCGGAAGCGTTGCGCAAGGGACTCCATGTGTTGTGCAGGGAACCGCTGCAGCAACGGTGAGCAGAGAAATCTCATTTTAAACCAACACTGACAGTCGTGACTACTAAGTTGTTGATGCAGATGTAGCTGAGAATAGTTTTGTCGTCACGTTATCTGTGTATGTCTGCATGTTATTCTGTTGATTCTTAACTGATGGATGTTTTCCAGACCCTAACTGCATTTGTTATTTGGCCCTTCTAGGTGTCTGTCATCCAAGTGACATAGATGGTACAGATGCAACAATCACCGCTGGCTGGCACAAACACAACAACACCATGGAGCATCAAGCCAAGAGGCCTCCCACTGCCAATGGCTATCAGCCTCACGCCGTCAAAGGTGACTGTCCTGTTTGGAATCATCAATCTTATCTGCTGGGTTCAACTCACAACATAAGTAGTTTTCAGTAAGGTCTGTTTCATGTAACATTTTTTTCATAACCTTCTTTTTCCTCTTTCCCCAGGCCAAGAGGGGGATACGTGCCTGAGATCTGCAGACTGCTCCGAGGGTCTGTGCTGCGCCAGACACTTCTGGTCTCGCATCTGTAAGCCTGTGCTGACAGAGGGCCAGGTGTGTACGCGCCACCGCAGGAAAGGCAACCACGGCTTGGAGCTGTTCCAGCGCTGTGACTGTGGTGAGGGCCTGGCCTGCCGACCAGAGAAAGGAGAGCGAGATCACAGTGTCAGCAGGACTGCAGCCCGGAACCTACACACCTGTCAAAGACGCTGACACAAACGCATGGACGCACACAGAGACAGAAATACACACCTACTCACACACACACACACTCACCTAGCAAGCCCACAAATCAGTCACAGACACTGACAAACACTTCTCAGCCTTGCATACACCAGAGATGCTGACACACACACACACACACATACGGACACACATCGACACCCAACACCTAAGACATTCTTTCCTGCCGAAGTTGCTGACATAAACACATCACCCGGAAGGATAGACATGATTCCTGGAAAAGTGATACACCCAGAGGGATGCAACAGTGCAAGATGGACTGATCCGATTCCCCGTGAGCAGATGAGGAAGTTAGGAAGTGACATTTCAGAAGTATTGGGAAGATCGATTCGTGTCGTCGGTAATGGCAGAACTGTTTTGTTTCTCTTTTTATGGAACTTCAAGCCATGGTTATTGCAGTAAATTACTGTATTGTAAATATTATCCTGGAGGTGGCACTTAATTGAGCTATTGAATTCTGTCAACACCGGTATTATAAAGACTTGGTGCTGCATGCTTTGTAAATGTGTTATATATATTGTTTTATAAGAAAATGTTATCTATAGAAAATTTGAATATATTTGTTTTATTAAATGCCATGTGATAACCTTACTCCTTCTTTCTGCCCCTCATTGTTGCTCTTTAATCTACTGTATTCCCAAAAAAAAGCAAAAAAAGCAGAGTCTATCTGCGGAAAGATTGTGTCTTTCCGCAGATAGAGTCTAAACCAGTGAGTCCAAATGCTTGACGCTTGGTGCAGGCGAGAAATGTTTCTGGCAAAATCAGAACTGTCCCCTTCTGGAAAGCAAGAGTTGTTTGAACAATCACTCTGCGGTGTTTAACTCATAGCCCAGTCTACACAAATCAGTGGTTGGGGATGAGTGGATGGTTTAAATGTTTGGCCCGGTTATGCTTCCCAGGCTCACAACACACACACACACAACTGTAGAAATTTGTGCAGGCAAGACACACGCAGAAAACACACTTACCAACAAACATAGATCTTTAATGAGTCATTACCGGGAGCCTCAACACGCCACATCCTGCTGTGGAAGCAGAGGATGGTCAATCAAGGCCGTGTCATCCGATGAACATTAAAAACAGGGCAGGATGCGGCCGTATCAAATGATAACTGCAAAGAGGTAATAACAAAGTGTATGTGTCCTGGCGAGTGTTTGCCACCTAAACCTTTGGTGTTGGCTAGTTTCTAATTATAACCTCCCTGCCTTCATGTGCAGCAGAGCAGATAGCTAGCTATCCAAGCTAAAGCCTCTAATTACTTCATCTTACTCAATCTACACAAGGATTCATGAAATGAGGTGCACCGCAGTGCTTTTTTTCGTGTGTGTGTGTGTGTGACGCAACCGAACAAAAAAAAAAAAAGGATCTCGGTTCTCAATCTCTCCAATTGCACAGCACACCCCATTTCCTGGCTGTTGTGCAATGGATGTGCTCTAATATGTAGGCTATGAATCCACTCAAATACACCTTGGTGCCTGTAATTAGACCTGTTTAGATTAGAAGATGGTGAGGAAATTACTGTACTTTTTGCCTGATTCTCTTGTCAGATCAAAAGGAACAC